GGGGTTTCACTGTGTTCGCCAGGATGGTCTCGATCTCCTGACCTCGTGATCCACCCGTCTCGGCCTCCCAAAGTGCTGGGATTACAGGCTTGAGCCATCACGCCTGGCCACAACAAATATTTTAAGTGAACAGTATCTGCTTAGATTCTGTTCGTTTAAAATATTTAGAAATGGGCCAGGCACAGTGGCTCATGCCTGTAATCCCAGCACTTTGGGAGGCCAAACCTGGCGGATCACTTGAGGTCAGGAGTTTGAGAACAGCCTGGCCAACATGACGAAACCCCGTCTCTACTAAAAACGCAACAATTACTCAGGCATGGTGGCGCACGCCTGTAATCCCAGCTACTCAGGACGCTGAAGCAGGAGAATCACTTGAATCCAGGAAGCAGAGGGTGCAGTGAGCTGAGATTGTGCCATTGCACTCCAACCTGGGTGAGAGAGCGAGACTCTGTCTTAAAAAAAAAAAAAAAATTTAGAAGTGTTCCATTATCGGCTGGGCATGGTGGCTCATGCCTGTAATCCCAGCACTTTGGGAGGCCAAGGCGGGTGGAACACGAGGTCAGGAGATCAAGACCATCCTGGCCAACATGGTGAAACCCTGTCTGTACTAAAAATACAAAAATTAGCTGGGTGTGGCGACATGTGCCTGTAATCCCAGCTACTCAGGAGGCTGAGGCACTTGAACCTAGGAGGTGAAGGGTGCAGTAAGCCGAGATTGTGCCACTGCACTCCAGTCTGGCAATACAGCAAGACTCTATTTAAAAAAAAAAGAAAAGTCCATTATCTCTACTGTTTTGCCCAAGGCAACCAAGTGATTAAAAGATTCCATGACACCTGCTTATGTGGCCATAGAGCCATTTTCTCTGAGTTTCCTAATTCTTTACAAGTACCATCACCCAAATTAATGGCAACATCCTCAGGGTCCTTACAACTTTAAGAAACCGAATATCCACAATATTGTTACCAACTTCACTCTGAACACTTCATATGGTTTAATAAAGCATTTTATGTAAAAGGCTAATTCCATTATGCCAGCAGATAGTCCACATTCATACTACTTTGATGATCTGATTAAACTAAAATGTACTGAGTTATATTTTATGCTAAGCACTATCTTAGATGCTTTATGTAAAAAATGTTATTCATTGTTAAGTCAGAATTCCATTTTTAAAAACTCGAAGCAAACTCCTAAAGTAAAAATAGTGCTTTCTGGCTGGGCGCAGTGGCTCACACCTGTAATCCCAGCACTTTGGGAGGCAGAGGCGAGAGGATCACGAAGTCAGGAGTTCGAGACCAGCCTGGCCAGCATGGTGAAACCCCTGTCTCTATTAAAAATTTGTTTCAGGCCGGGCGCGGTGGCTCAAGCCTGTAATCCCAGCACTTTGGGAGGCCGAGACGGGTGGATCACGAGGTCAGGAGATCGAGACCATCCTAGCTAACATGGTGAAACCCCATCTCTACTAAAAAATACAAAAAACTAGCCGGGTGAGGTGGCGGGCGCCTGTAGTCCCAGCTACTCGGGAGGCTGAGGCAGGAGAATGGCGTGAACCCGGGAGGTGGAGCTTGCAGTGAGCCGAGATCCGGCCACTGCACTCCATCCTGGGCGACAGAGCGAGACTCCGTCTCAAAAAAAATAAATAAATAAAAATAAAAATAAAAATACAAAAATTGGCCAGGCGGCTGAGCACGTAATCCCAGCACTCTGGGAGGTTGAGAAAGGTGGACTGCCTGAGGTCAGGAGTTCAAGACCAGCCTGGCAAACAGAGTGAAACGCTGTCTCTACTAAAAATACAAAACAATTAGCTGGGCGTGGTTGACGGGCACCCGTAATCCCAGCTACTTGGGAGGCTGAGGCAGGAGAATCACTTGAACCCAGGAGGCGGAGGTTGTGGTGAGCCGAGATTGCGCCATTGCACTCCAGCCTGGGCAACAAAAGCAAAACTGTCTCAAAAGAAAAAAAAAAAAAAATTGGCCAGGCATGGCAGCACGCGCCTGTAATCCCAGCTACTCTGGAGGCTGAGGTAGGAGAATCACTTGACGCCAGGAGGCAGAGGTTGCAGTGAGCCGAGACCGCACCACTGCACTCCAGCCTGGGCAACACAGGGAGACTCTGTCTTAAAAAAAAAAAAAAAGTGCTATTTACTGGTTGTTTTTAGATTGACAATTTCAATGTAAGTTATAGTAGTACCTGTCCTCCGGTTCAGCAACCAGTCCAAAAATATTAAGTGAAAAATTCCAGAAAGGAACATTTGTAAGATTTAAATTGTGCACCATTCTGAGTAGCACAATTAAAATCTCTCACAATACCGGCTCCCGCTTCCTGGAATGTGAATCATCCCACTGTCCAGCCTATCCACACTGCATAAACTGCCCACTCATCAGTCACTTAGTAGCCATTCTGGTTACCAGATCAACTGTAGGGTATTGCAATGCTTGTGTTTACATAACCCTTATTTTACTTAAATAATGGCCCCAACACAAAAGAGTAGTAATGTTGGCAATTCAGACATGCCAAAGAGAAGCCACAGTGCTTCCTTTAAGTGAAAGAATGAAAGTTCTAGACTTAGGAAAAAGCATAACCTATAATAGGGGTTGGTACTATCCATGGTTTCAGGCATCCACCAGGGGTCTTGGAACATCCTCCTCGAATAAGGGGGGATACTACCATACCCTTAAAATCTTAATTTTTTAATTCAAATTGTATTATTGGATTTATTTTTCAGTACTTAGGGGAGCATGGGAGCAAAGGATTGCTTTAAGAATCCTTTCCTCAACATGTAGAAGCCTGATTAGAAAATTAGGGAGAAGAACAAACAAGTCTAAAGCCAGTGGTTTAACAAGATAAATACATGAATAATGCAGCCTGGGCAACATAGTGAGACCCTGCCCCTAAAAAAAGACATGAATAATGAACATATAGGTAACCCTCAGCTATAAGTTGTAAAACTTACATAGAAATAGGCTATAGAAGAGTAGAATCGTGTCATGGCTCCAGAGCAAGACTCTCGTCTCAGCGCCAGTCCAGCCCAACCCAGCCCGACCCAGCCCTCACAGGTCCACCGTGGTGCATGCAAACCACCTCCCAGCCATGCGCTCCCTCCCGCTCCTCAGCTCCTTCTGCCTCCTGGCGGTGGCCTTGGCGACCGAGGTGAAGAAACCTGCAGCCACAGCAGCTCCTGGCACCGTGGAGAAGCTGAACCCTAAGGCAGCCACGCTGGCCAAACGCAGCGCCGGCGCGGCCTTCAGCCTGTACCAGGCCATGGCCAAGGACCAGGCGGTGGAGAACATCTTAGTGTCGCCTGTTGAGGTGGCCCTGTCGCTGGGGCTTGTGTCGCTGGGCGGCCAGGCGACCACGGTGTTGCAGGCCAAGGCAGTGCTGAGCACCGAGCAGCTGCGCGACGAGGAGGTGCACGCCTGCGAGGGCGAGCCGCTGCGCTCACTCAGCAACTCCACCGCGCGAAACGTGACTTGGAAGTTGGGCAGCCGCCTGTAGGGACCCAGCTCAGTGAGCTTCGCTGATGACTTCGTGCGCAGCAGCAAGCAGCTCTACAACTGCGAGCACTACAAGATCAACTTCCGCGACAAGCGCAGCGCGCTGCAGTCCATCAACGAGTGGGCCACGCAGACCACCGACGGCAAGCTGCCTGAGGTCACCAAGGACGTGGACTGCACGGACGGCGCCCTACTTGTCAACGCCATGTTCTTCAAGTCACACGGGGATGAGAAATTCTACCACAAGATGGTGGACAACCGTGGCTTCATGATGACTCGGTCCTATACCGTGGTTGTCATGATGATGCACCAGAAAGGCCTCTACAACTACTATGACAACGAGAAGGAAAAGCTGCAAATCATGGAGATGCCCCAGACCACAAGCTCTCTAGCCTCATCACCCTCATGCCCTACCACGTGGAGCCCCTCGAGGCCTTGAAAAGCGGCTAACCAAAGAGCAGCTGAAGATCTGGATAGGGAAGATGCAGAAGGCTGTCGCCATCTCCCTGCCCAAGGGTGTGGTGGAGGTTCCCATGACCTGCAGAAACACCTGTCTGGGCTTGGCCTAACTGAGGCCATTGACAAGAACAAGGCAAACTTGTCACACATGCCATGCAAGAAGGATCTGTACCTGGCCACGTGTTCCAAACCACCGCCTTTGAGTTGGACACAAATGGCAACCCCTTTGACCAGGACATCTATGGGCACGAGGAGCTGCGCAGCCCCAAGCTGTTCTACTCTGACCACCCCTTCGTCTTCCTGGTGTGGGACACCCAGAGCGGCTCCCTGCTGTTCACTGGTCGCCCAGTCCAGCCTAAGGTTGACAAGATGCGAGATGAGTTGTAGGGCCTCAGGGTGCACACAGGATAGCAGGAGGCAGCTGAAGGCTTCTGAGACACATGGGTGCTACTGGGGTTGCGGGGGAGGTGAGGTACCAGCCTTGGATACTCTATAGGGTGGGGGTGGAAAAACAAACCAGGGTTCCCGTGTGCTTGAATGGACCTTCCCAGCTAGAATTTATTCCACTTGGACATGGGCCCCAAATACCATGATGCTGAGCCCAGAAACTCCACATCCTGTGGGACCTGGGCCATAGTCATCCTGCCTGCCCTCAAAGTCCCAGATCAAGCCTGCCTCAATCAGCGTTCATATTTATAGCCAAGTACCTTCTCAACTGTGAGACCAAATTGAGCTAGGGGTGTCAGCCAGCCCTCTTCTTGTGACACTAAAACACCTCAGCCGCCTCCCCAGCTCTATCGCAGTCTCTCCCAACTACAAAACTAGGTGCTGCAGCCCCTGGGACCAGGCATCCCCAGAATCACCTGGCCCCAGTGAGGCAGATCGAGAAAGAGATCACAGAACGGGCTTCTGGGAAGACTCTGGTCAAGAATGGTACCATGGGGATGAACTTTTTGTTTTTGTTTCGTTCTTTTTTAGTTTTTCAAAGATGGGGAGGGAAGGGGGAACATGAGCCTTTGTTGCTATCAAACCAAGAACTTATTTGTACAATTTTTCAATAAAATGTTTTCTTCAACAACAACAACAAGAAAATAAACAGGCTATAACCAGCTGGGCACAGTGGCTCGTGTCTGTAATCCCAGCACTTTGGGAGGCAGAGGCAATCGGATCACCTGAGGTCAGGAGTTCGAGACCAGCCTGGCCAACATGGCGAAACCCCATCTCTACTAAAATACAAAAATGAGCTGGGCATGGTGGTGGGCACCTGTAATCCCAGTTACTCAGGAGGCTAAGGCAGGATAATCTCTTGAATCCAGGAGGTGGAGGTTGTAGTAAGCCAAGATTGCGCCATTGCACTCCAGCCTGGGTGACAAAAATCAAACTCCTTCTCAAAAAAAAAAAAAAAAAAAGGAAAAAAAGGAAAAGGGGCCGGGCGCGGTGGCTCAAGCCTGTAATCCCAGCACTTTGGGAAGCCGAGACGGGTGGATCACAAGGTCAGGAGATCGAGACCATCCTGGCTAACCCGGTGAAACCCCGTCTCTACTTAAAAAAATACAAAAAACTAGCCGGGCGAGGTGGCGGGCGCCTGCAATTCCAGCTACTCGGAGGCTGAGGCGGAGCTTGCAGTGAGCTGAGATCCGGCCACTGCACTCCAGCCTGGGCGACAGAGCGAGACTCTGTCTCAAAAAAAAAAAAAAAAGGAAAAGGCTATAACCTAGAAATGGCTACAGATCTCCCTTGGGAAGGAGGGGAAAGGGGAGGACCTAAAGTAATTTTTCTCTTTCTACAAATTTAAGTATGTTTGAGCTCAAGTTGCCAAAATGTTGCTGAAATGAGCTTTATTTTACCTGTACCCCAGGATTTTTGCTCGAGATCTCTTTAGACAGGCTTACCAGGATAATGACCCTTCTCCATGTACTTAACTATATCTGCATTGTTCAAATGTGTGCTTTTATTTTTATGCACTGTTTTCTTTGTAGCTACATATTGTAATGTAAGACCTCCCTCCATCCTTCTTAGAAATAGATTAGCTATAATTATTGACATGTCACTAGATTTAAAGGTAACTAACACTAAAGCATTGGTGTAACATATCATAGACATCCAATAAACAGAGGCCCTTAAACTACCACTGCCACCAAACACATTCTTATTCTGTAGGGACGGAGATGGAATTGAACAGCGAGCAAAATACCTACATGGTTTATTTTTTCTATTTTAAGATGTTAAATAAGATTTTTATTTCAAATATCTGTTAGACTACCAAAGCGTTTGTGCAGTAGTAACCATTATAGCAGATTACTAGATTAGGAGGCAAAAAAACCGAGGACTCAGTCAGGCTCTGCTAAGAACCAGGTGTGATACATGGTCAGATTATTTAACATCTATGGGTCTCTGCTTCTTCAAGTTTAAAATTGAAATAATTTATACAGGCATTGACAGTAAAATTAGATATGTTAAGTACTCTCTACAAGTGTACTGATTATACATTTACAGGAGACAGTTTCTGTAATGCACCCACTAAGCATCTGAAACAAAACAGGCACAGTGATCTACCTATAGCATTAAAAAAAAAAAAAAAAGCTATACATGCATACATACTTTTTTTTTTTTGAGAAAGGGTCTTACTCTGTCACCCAGGCTGGAGTGTAGTGGTGCAATCACGGCTCACTGTAGTCATGAACTCCTGGGCTCAACCAGTCCTCCTGCTTCAGTCTCCCAAGTAGCTGGGACTACAGGTGCACAGCACCAAACCTGACTAATTTTTTAAATTTTTTGTAGAGATGAGGTCTCCCTATGTTGCCCAGGCTGGTCTGGAACTCCTGGGCTCAAGCAATCCTCTTGCCTCAGCCCCCAAAGTGTTGGGATTACAGGCATGAGCCACTGTGCCTGTCCTACATTTTATTTTTGTAAGATTTTTTAAAAGGAGTCCTACAGCTAGCCAGGTCAATAGAGATAATCTAATCTGTAGCTGATCTAGCCTATAATATTTGGTCCATGAAGGATTATCTTCATATTTTGCAGTCTGGCTTACAAAGTGTTTCAAAAAATTTTTTTTAAATTTGTTGTACTGTTTAAAAAATTAGGAGCAATTAAAAATATACAGTTCCTGCTTTTCCTGAAAATTAAAAGATGTAGTTACATCGGGCCTGCAATTAGATAAGGAAGTAGTAGACCAAAACAGAGTAGTGGCTGTCCCTTTTAGAAGGGCATACACCCTTCTAATACACTCCATGGTTCTACCTGCTCCTAGTCCCTTTATACGAACCAACTTTATTCATTTACATTAAGAAACCCAGTACCTACTGGCAGTCACTCCCCATTTCCCCCCAACCCATCTAGCCCTAGACAAACACTAATAATGATCACTTTTTTTTTTTTTTTTTTTAAGAGATGAGGTCTCACCATGTTGCCCAGGCTGGTCTCAAACTCCTGAGCTCAAGTGATCCTCCTGCCTTGACCTCCTAAAGTGCTAGGACAGGCATGAGACATGGCACCCAGCCTAATAATAACCAATTTTAAAGAAGTTACTAACAAAGTCACTGGGACCGCTGGACTATTCAAAACTGATACAAGGCCAGGCACTGTGGCTCATGCCTATAATCCCAGCACTTTGGGAGGCCAAGGCGGTTGGATCCCTTAAGCCCAGGAGTTTGAGACCAGCCTGGGCAACAAGGTGAAACTCTGTCTCTACAAAAAATACAAAAATTAGCTAGGTGTAGTGATGTATGCCTTAGTCGCAGTTACTTGGGAGGCTGACATTGGGGAGCACTGCTTGAGCCTGGGAGGCGGAGGTTGCACTGAGCCGAGATTGCACCACTGCACTCCAGACTGGGCAACAGAGTGAGACTCCGTCTCCAAAAAACAAATTAAAGAAACTGATACTAAAGAAAGTCAGCATTTTCAATCAATTTTATTATTAAAACATTTCTATACCCCATATTAGGCATAAAGTCACTAAGAACACAAGAAATTCAGTATTATCAGTGAGAGATTAAAGGGTGAAAAATACAGTACACACTTTTCCCCCTATAAGAGAACTGATTATTTCAAACTCTAGGGATTCTTCTATCTATAGACTACTGATCTCAACAGAAGACAGATGATACTAGACAACTGCTTAAAACAGCTGCTGCAAAGGAATTAGAATATATGATACTTAATAGAATTCTTACGGCAAGATGTGGATTTGGGGATATAAATCATGTAAATTATACCCATTTTTAAAAAGTAGTTTTCAAGAAATTGTTTCTGTTTTGAACTGAAAGAAAAAGTAGTTTCAAGTTTGTTTATGGTTAAGTAGCTAATGCTTTGCAATTACTACAATTCCCCTCAAGAGCCCTACAATGAGTTTACTACGTTTTTACATTTGGTGAAAAGCATGAGCAATCACCTAAAAATAAACATAACAAAATTTTAGAACCTAGTTATCTTAAACCAGTGCAAGTATTACTTTCTCTAAATATAGAGGTTTAATTTTGAAAGACTTCTCAGTAACAGGTGGTAACCAATGTTGGGTTTAAATTCAGTGCTTTATTTTTAAAATCTCGGTCTGACCAAACTGCAGGAAGTTGTCGTTTTCAGATTTTTGTCACATTGCAGTCATAAAACACTTTCAACAAAATATATTTCACGTGTTCAATCAGAAAAATAACTGTTACAATCAGTTTTCGCAAATTACCAAGATGACAGAGATTCTTTCAGTCCCTTTGGGAACTGTCGCCACCATGGGACCAGGAATTATTTCCAAAGGAGTGACATCCAGAAAGCAAAGAATGACTAAAACAGTAATTTCATTCACTGTAATCAAAATTATTAACATGTAATTAATTGTGCTACCTGAATAATCTTCCAAGACTTTTTGTGATAGATGGCAATTAGTATCATCTCCCTTTTTACAAATAAAGAAACTGAGGCACAGATCATTTAATTTACTCAAAACCATGATATAAATTTGTTTTAGAAAGTGATCGGATAGCCATATATTGGCTACATAATTCTATACCACTAGTTTTATCTAATCAAATCTCACATAAGCAAGTGGCTAACTTAAAAGACTATAATAGACGCAGCACCACCCCTCATTGCTGGTGAAATCTCAATTAGTCTCTTTGGTCTGGATGTTATGCAATATTATTAAGTGGGTTACTTCCAGAATACCAATGTAACTTTAGTTCGCCTCGTAGTAAAACAATCTCATGGCTATGTCTTGCAGCAAAAACAGCAAGAATCACTATAAAAATGTCTCCACAGTTGAGCATCTGAACTTGTCAATAACAGAATTCATTATACCTCCTGACAAAATCTGCCCCTCCACTTCTCTTCTTTGGAAGTGGGGTGAAAATACCATTCATGCAGTCACTCAGGACTAAATGAGAAAGCATCCT